TCCTGCTTTATATATAAAGGTGCAATGTTTTTGTTTACTACATGAACTACTTCCCAGAAGCTTCTGTATATACACTCCAAAATTAGGGTTTCTTTGACTTCTCCAATTTCAAAATCGGAGTGCATTAACATTAGTATAAAATCTATATTTAATCATGCATGAACAATATTCTATCTATATTTTATTTGATATCAGCATATACTAACATAATATATGTAATTTTCAGTCTATAAATGGCTTCCTTTTGCTAACTAATTAAATCTCATTTATTGGGTCATGCATGTATACTTGTACTGTATCAAAATTCGAATGGCCACAAACAATTCGGACACCATAAATGTGAACTTTGTAACAAAACAAAGTTATTAATCTTAGCTCATATTGATAGTTGATTTTAACGACTTGAGTTTAAATTTATTAGCTTATATATATTCTTTCTTACATTCACCATTTATAATATACATTTTTTTTAAATTGCTAAATAGTAAATATTATTAATAGAAAATGAACAGTTTAGGATTACAAATGGTTACTGGAACAAATTAGCAAACCTATGAAAGCATGGTCCAATGGCAAAAAATAATAAGCAAATAATGAAATTACTATGAAGTAAGTGCCTTGAAAAAATAGCGATAAAGTTCTTAAAATCTTCGTGCAAAAAACAATCGAAAAGCCGTAGAAAGAGAAACAACTTGAATGATCAATGAAGTTACAAAACCGCTTAAAGAAGCACTTTCATACGGTTAAGATATATCAGATTTCAAAATTTGATATATCTTAACCAACAAAACTTATTAAGTTAATCTAAGATAATAAAATAGTATAATTAACGCGCACCAGGGTTCGATTCTCTCGATGCCCAAATTTTAAATTATAGTAGTATTATTTTATTCAAAAACATAAACAAATACTATTAGAAAGAACAAAAATAGGGAAAATTCCTTAAAAATACCATAACTTAATTATATTGGCTGAAAAAATACCCGAACTTTTTTCGTTATCCGATTAATATCCAAACTATTTAACATTAGTATTTCAATACTCAAACTTTTAAAGTGTTCTGGTTTTACTACATGACCATTAACGGAGTTAACCCGACTGACGGAAGTTAATAAACGCTGTTAGTTTTTAATGAATAGTGTTTGCTACAGTGTTATTCCCTAAATTGATTTTGGGATGTAAAAACCCTAAAATCCCAAATTGAATTGATTTTGGATAGATTTCAAAAATTTCCATGAACAAGCAAGCAATCCTTCAATAACCTTGTGAGAATCACGACACAGAAAAACAAAATCCAAATCTAGATTTGTTGAAATAGCTTTGAGAACAACAGCTTCACTATACCCACAATCCACAATCTGATTCATCGCACTACGGAAAAGGGTAAGCAAATTCGATGATAATAGTTCTTCGAGATAACAGGCAAACGGATCATCCCATCCAACGGATTCATCTGCCCGATCGAGTCGTTAACACTCAAAGGATCGAAGAAGAGTGTTGCAGAGAGGGAGAGGGGCACTGTGAGGAAGAAAGGAAGTGCGTGGCTAGAACAAGGAGGAGCCGAACAAGATTGATCGTGAGCTTTGTGACAAGAGGAGGGTTGACTTTACAAAAATCTGAATATTCAATTTGAGATTTTAGGGTTTTTACATCCAAAATCAATTTGGGGAAGAACACTGTAACAAACACTGTTCATTAAAAACTAATAGCGTTTATTAACTTCGTCAGTCAGGTTAACCCCGTTAATGGTTATGTAGTAAAACCAGAACACTTTAAAAATTCGAGTATTGAAATACTAACGTTAATTAGTTTGGATATTAATCGGATAACGAAAAAAATTTGGATATTTTCTCAGCCAATATAATTAAGTTAGGATATTTTTAAAGAATTTTCCCATTCTTACGAAATAAAATTCCCGCCTTAAAGGCCAAAGCTTCGGATCTTAAACCGGTGGGTCCCCACAACTCAGAGACCACAAAAACTCACATTTGTCAATTTCTCCTCACTCTTAATTTTTTAAATCAATTATTTTAATTTTTATTAATCTCTGTAACGGCCTATAAATACGACCCTATAAACTCCACATTATACAGAAACTCATAACGAAAGTGAGAATATAATAAAATAAAAAAACTCTACCAACACTTGTCTCTTCTTCACCGATTTCAATGGCGACTTCCGTCGATAACCGCCATTATCCTCGCCACAACTCCGCCATGAACGGCGTCGTTCGCTCCTTCAAACCACCACCAGTCCCCTCCCGCTCATTCGATCGCAACCGTCACCAAAACCAGACTGCTACCACTATCTCCGTTCTAACCGAAGAAAAACTCGTCAAAGAAACCGAAACGACCACCGTCACCATCCTTGACGACCGTTACGATTCCAGCGACGACGAAGAAGAGAGCCATAACCGTAACGTACCTTACTACAAAGAGATGATTCGTAAATCAAACATCGATTTAGAACCGTCGATTCTAGATCCAAGAGACGAATCAACGGCTGATAATTGGATCCAACGAAACTCATCAATGGTACGTCTCACCGGAAAACACCCATTCAACGCCGAAGCACCACTCCCTCGTCTCATGCACCACGGATTCATCACTCCCGTACCTCTCCATTACGTACGTAACCACGGTGCTGTACCCAAAGCCGATTGGTCAGATTGGGAAATCGAAATCACCGGATTAGTAAAAAAACCAGAGAAATTCACCATGGAGAAACTAATCGCCGAGTTTCCGAGCCGCGAATTTCCGGTGACACTCGTTTGCGCCGGTAATCGCCGGAAGGAACAGAACATGGTGAAACAAACGATCGGATTCAACTGGGGATCCGCCGGAGTTTCGACTTCTTTATGGAAAGGAGTTCCGTTGAGTGAAATTCTCCGGCGATGCGGGATCTATAGCCGGAGAGGAGGTGCGATTAACGTTTGTTTCGAAGGAGCGGAGGATCTTCCCGGAGGCGGCGGATCTAAATACGGAACGAGTGTAAGGAAAGAGATTGCTATGGATCCTTCTAGAGATATTATATTAGCTTATATGCAAAACGGTGAGTTTTTAGCTCCGGATCATGGGTTTCCGGTTCGGGTTATAATACCCGGTTTTATTGGTGGGAGAATGGTTAAATGGTTAAAACGAATCATTGTTACTCCTCAAGAATCTGATAGTTACTATCACTATAAAGACAATCGTGTCCTTCCTTCTCTTGTTGATGCTGAGCTCGCTAATGCTGAAGGTAATTAATTTACCCTTTTTACTTTCATTTTGTTTTTTTACTGTTTTGTGTTACCAATCGGATATCTAATACTGTGTTTGTTGTAGCGTGGTGGTATAAGCCGGAATATATCATTAACGAGCTTAATGTAAACTCGGTGATTACGACTCCGGGTCACGAGGAGATTTTGCCGATTAATGCGTTCACTACGCAGAAGCCGTATACATTAAGAGGCTATGCTTATTCTGGTAACCAAAAATGTTTAAAACTTTTGATTCAAAACTAAATGATTGATTAAGATGTGAAAATTCTTAATGAATTTTTTTTTTTTCAGGAGGAGGGAAGAAGGTAACGAGAGTTGAGGTGACTTTAGACGGAGGAGACACGTGGAGTGTATGTGAGCTTGATCATCAAGAGAAGCCGAACAAGTATGGCAAGTTCTGGTGCTGGTGTTTCTGGTCAATAGACGTTGAGGTTCTTGATCTGCTTAGTGCTAAAGATGTCGCGGTTCGAGCCTGGGACGAGTCTTTCAACACCCAGCCTGATAAACTCATTTGGAACCTCATGGTAACTAATATTAATCCCTCTCTCTCAATTATATATTATATGATTTGGTTAAGTAGAGTTATTAGTTTAGTATAAACATGTATTTGTCTTCGTCCTACAAAGTTGGAATTACTGTACACTTCTTGATGATTTTTTAAAACGTGTTACCTACCATCTTCGCTTTTCGGATTTTTATTAAAATAAAAATCTCTAACCAACATGTAACCAAGAACAGTTCTTTAATTGTCTCTGTTAATACAGTTCATGTTTAGTGGTTAAGTATAATTATCATTTCCCTTCATGCGGGCAATTATATTAAAAAAAACTTAGACAAGTCTAAGTCCATGGTCTCCAGCTAAATTTGATTATGATGATGTTTGACTAATCCAAATAATGACGTTGACTTGTGTTGAAACAGGGGATGATGAACAATTGCTGGTTCAGAGTGAGAACAAACGTGTGCAAGCCTCACAGAGGAGAGATAGGGATAGTTTTCGAACACCCGACCCGACCCGGTAACCAATCGGGTGGGTGGATGGCTAAGGAGCGTCAGCTCGAGATTTCTTCAGAGTCAAACAATACCCTGAAGAAATCTGTTTCATCTCCATTCATGAACACTGCTTCAAAGATGTATTCAATCTCCGAAGTTCGAAAACACAACTCAGTCGAATCCGCATGGATCATAGTCCATGGTCACATCTACGACTGTACACGTTTCTTGAAAGACCATCCAGGTGGTTCAGACTCGATCCTCATCAACGCAGGAACCGATTGTACCGAAGAGTTTGAAGCTATTCATTCAGATAAAGCTAAGAAGCTTCTTGAAGATTATCGTATCGGTGAACTCATCACAACCGGCTACGATTCTTCCCCTAACGTCTCAGTCCATGGTGGTTCGAACGTAGCTTCTTTGTTAGCTCCAATCAAAGAGCTAACTCCTACGAAAAACATCGCTTTGGTCAATCCACGAGTGAAAGTACCAGTCAGGCTCATCGAGAAGACTTCGATATCTCACGATGTTCGTAGATTCCGATTCGCATTACCATCGGAAGATCAGCAGCTTGGTTTGCCTGTAGGGAAACACATTTTCCTCTGCGCGAACATTAACGACAAACTCTGTCTCAGAGCTTATACTCCGACCAGCACGGTCGATGCGGTCGGACATATCGATCTAGTCGTCAAGGTTTACTTCAAAGATGTCCATCCAAGATTCCCAAACGGAGGACTCATGTCACAACATTTAGACTCGTTACCGATTGGGGCGGTTTTAGACATCAAAGGTCCATTAGGACACATTGAATACACAGGTAAAGGTAACTTCATGGTCAATGGTAAACCAAAGTTTGCCAAGAAACTAGCCATGCTTGCTGGAGGAACAGGCATTACCCCGATCTACCAAATCATTCAATCGATACTGAGTGATCCAGAGGACGAAACGGAGATGTTTGTGGTTTACGCAAACCGAACCGAAGATGACATACTTGTGAGGGAAGAGTTAGAAGGATGGGCTAATAAGCATAAGGAGAGGCTAAAGATTTGGTACGTTGTTGAAATCGCAAAGGATGGTTGGAATTATAGTACCGGGTTTATAACCGAAACAGTGCTGAGAGAACATATCCCGGAAGGTTTAGAAGGCGAAACGCTCGCACTCGCCTGTGGACCACCGCCTATGATTCAGTTCGCGTTGCAGCCGAATCTAGAGAAGATGGGTTACAACGTGAAGGAAGATCTCTTGATCTTTTAAGAATTGGTCAAATAAATTCGATAAGTCAATAACAAAGTATCGGTTTTGTAAATACATGGTTATTTGCTACTTGTATTAGAGTTTTCTTTATTCCATATGTATATTGTATAAATTGTGTTTACGGTTTATGTTATTGTTGACGATGATGATAAATGATGAAAGTAATGTAATTTTATTTATCTTCATTTTATTGTTCATTTTAGTTATAATGCTTCGATAATATGGGTCAATAGTTGTTACTACTGATCGTCTAATAAGTTTGTTGTAGTTCACATCGAGTGCATGTTCATTTAGCCACGCCTGATAAACATTTGTCGTATAAGACTATTATTATTTTGAAGCTAGTTACCACTTGTGGTCGTGTTGCTTTCAATTGTGTTTTATGACAACAAGAAAAAGTAAAACATACAAAACATGTTTAAAGCAACTTATATAATATACATTTATTATTATGATCATTCATGGGGGGGGGGGGAAGACTAATAATGCTACAGTGGTGTTTGGCACAAACATGGAAAAGTATATAAAATGAACGATCTGTTTGGCCCACAAGATTCGAGGGGTATACGCAATTACGCATCTTACCAGTAATTATAAGGGTCATTTTGCTAAAATCACTATAAGGGACCATGCATAATTTGCAAAAGCATGTGGCATCAAAAATATAAATAAATAAATTGTGATTTTCGTATGTGATTTAATTAAAATAGCGTGATAATGTAAATTAGCATATGATGACAGTTATCAAGGCATGCATGAAATCAATATTTGTTATGATTTTAACATCCGTCATTTTTACAAATAAATGGCCAACAAATGGTAGTTCAATGCAAATATATTCTATAGTTTCATTTTAAAAATGAAGTAAAGATAAGG